GGCTCGGTGGGGAGGTGCTTTGGCCGGCTCGGTGGGGAGGTGATGGGGAGGTGCTTCGGCCAGCTCGGTGGGGAGGTGGTGTGGAGGCGCTTCGGCCGGCTCGGTGGGGAGGTGGTGAGGGGGTGCTTCGGGCGGCTCGGTGGGGAGGTTCTTTGGCCGCCTCGGTGGGTTGGTGCTTTGACCTCGTCGGTGGGGAGGTGCTTCGGCCGGCTCGGTGGGGAGGTGCTTTGGCCGTCTCGGTGGGGAGGTGGTGGGGAGGTGCTTTGGTCGGCTCGGTGGGGAGGTGGTGGGTAGGTGCTTCGGGCGGCTCGGTGGGGAGGTGGTGGGTGTTCTCCCCATCTTGCGACAAGTAGACCCACCCCCGGGCTTCCAGTGTCCCTCGGAACTCCAGATCCATTATGCTTGGCGACAACCTTTTCAAACTGACTTTAGTCCATACCGGTTTTATCCATAGGAACGTGTCCGCCTCTTCCAGCATTACGGTTTCATATGCTGGCTCAAGATCTGTCCACGTCCCATCTTCCGGGAGGACGACTGATACCCCATCCCTTACATCTACTGGCATTTCTTGACCGCTGGTATAGATCGGGGATGACCTCCACCGCACCATCTTGTTTCCCGCACCCGACCCCTGTTTCCATAAGAGAGTACCAAACGGTCCTTCCGGTCATGTCAACCCACGTCCTAGATGAGAATTATTTCAGACCTCTCATCAAGGTCTACCTAATTTACCTCCCCATTCGTAAGTACCACCTTCCCATAGTACCCTCGGTTGGCCATCCTCTTCCCAACATTCTTTCTCTTGGTTCCATTTCGACAGACCTCTGTCCTCCTTCCTACCAATCATCTCTCACTCGTGTAGACTTAGATAACCGTTCAACCGTTCAGCCTCAATCAATCTTTACAAGGGAGGAATACACAGAAAAAAATCAGGCAATCTCACATACGGGCCGGTCATCTCCTCGCCGGCCTTTTCCCAATATGGTCTCTCCGTTGGTACTTTCAGCAGAGTTTTATCCCATACCTCAAGCGCAGCTCAACCGTCGCGAGCGCGGTACCCAGGCTCCGGCACAGGGTGTTACCCCTCTCCATTTGCCCAAAATACCCCATCCCGTTTTGCCGCTTTTGCATACCCTCGTTGGTACTAGGAATCACCCCGCACACCCTGTTAGGAGCAAAAGTCAGCCGTCCGGGCATTCACTTCCATCGGTCCGACAAAAATCAGTCTTTCCCAAACCGTACTACGGGGAGCTACTAATCGTCTTCGAGGTTCCTTCCTTGCCTCGCATGCAGTGGTACTCCCCCCGCCAGCCAACAGGCTAAGCCCCGCCCAAGAAGACATTTCGCACCCCGCCTAGGCAAGATCATCGAGCCATGCTCGGACCGCCTGGGTGAGAATGCTACTAATCAACCGGCCAGACAAATTCCCATTCGACAACTCGTTGGCCTAACCTCCACACACGAAACCCGGCGAACTACAAAGAGAGCGGCGTTTCGCAACCCGCACCAGCCGGTGCAGACCCATCCTTTCCTTCCGAAAGGCAGGACGCTCAAATCCCATCATGCAAATCACAAGTCCCAAGTGGGACACAATTAGTACAAGTGCCTTTCCCTTGGTGCACCCAACGCTTCCTACCCATAGCTCACAATTTTCTCTCAGGACAATGAGTGTCACTCCCCCTACTTCCGCACACAGTGGTTGGTTCCTTCTCGTGAGAATCTTCAAGGGTGAGCTAGTTTTCCTTGGAGTCTAGAAACTCCCTTCATTTCCTTTCTCTTCATTTGTCTCTCCTTTCATAGGGAGGGATTGTTCCTTCTTGGTGACCCGTTGTGTTCATGTTGGTTCCTTCAAGCATTTCAATGTGTATTGTGCATGAGCCCACCGGGCCCAAAGAAGAAGAGAGAAGGGCACCCATTCAATCGGATCACTCCGCCACGGGCTTTTCATTGGACCCCGACCGAAGCTGAAGCACCAACCGCCTGCCAGGTAACCGGAGCCCTTGTTTCGCACGAAGAGGAAGGGTCGACCTACGACTTGCCCAAGGCTTCCCCGGACTGGTGAACACCAGTACCAGACGAAGGAGGTCTAGAGCCATTCCACAAGGAGATGGCTTAATCAAGTGCATAGCATGCATGTTATACCTCCAGGCCTGGCCATGCCATGCGCCCAACCACTCTCAAATCTGATTCTCTCAAGGGAAAGAACAAGCACAAGTCCATTTTCCTTATCTTTAGTTGTGTATGTGGTCATGCGCAGGGCGCCCCCTTCGGAACCGCAAGGGTCAGTTTAACCCCCTGCCAGTTTCCTCCACCATTTTTTGTGGGGCCAAACCCAGATAGACTTTCGAGCCTTGGTCGACCCCACTGCGCCTCCCATTTGGCTCGGCCTGCCCACGCTCATGTGCAGGGCGCAGGCCGTTCGTCCCAGGGTCACCCCCACCTAGTGCTTTGAGATGGATGGGGGTGGGCCATCGCAAGAGAGAGCTTTGACATAGGGGATGTAGCTCAACCCTCACGCAGGGTGGTAGTCTCGCTGGTCATTCGGCAACGCAGATTTTTTCTTGATTCTTGGTTGTGTTCTCAAGCAATTGCTCCTTCCAATACACAGGCAGTCCAGGGGTTCTTTGAGAGGTTTTCTCTTCTGCGCAGGCTAAGCGTCATCCTTAGGCCGCGCACCATTTCCCTAAGCATTGCAATTCTATGGCGTCATCGGGGTGCGACGATGTCGTCCTCCCCTCCGCCTCTATGCACCCCTCGAGTTTCAAGCATCTGATCCATCCTTATTGACGCAGGCCCCTTAGTCTTTACGGGGCCTTTACATGCATGCACAGACAACGTCACATTTCCCTTAGCAAGTTTGCTCTTCCCTCTTTCGTTTACATTCCAAGACACAACCGCAAAGATCACTTCCCTGGATGGTTTTATGCTAAGGGTCCCATAGCCCCATTGCCCCTTCTTCCTTTTCCCTTCGCCGCCCGTTTTCCCCCGGCCCTATCCCGCTCAACGCGTCCCAAGCCTTTACTTACCTGCACAATCCCACACAAGCAAAGACCTATACAATCCCCCATTGGGGGTCAACACATAGCCCTTCCCGCATGCCTATCTTTCCTTTCCCTTAGGCTTCTCTTTGTGCTCAATCAGCGCACTCTCTTCTTGTAGTCACGTAGTCAAGGAAATGGTTGAGGCAAATTGACCTTTGCTTCAAATCGTACTTTCCCCCGGACTCCGCCTTCATCCAACCTTTCAAATGTCCTTTCCCCTTTTCCTTCTTTGCGGCATAAGGGACCGGCTACCCTTTCCTTGCCCTGTTTTTCCACCAAGTGAGGCTTGATTTTTCCATTACCGTTCATTCCCTGACAATGTAACAAGTGAGGGATGAGGGGTTAGTCATATGCCAAGTGAGGGGAGGAAGAGAAAGGGCAATATAAAGAGAGACAGAGAGAGAGAGAGAGAGAGAGAGATACCTTCAGTCCTAATCAAATCAACTTTTCGTTGTAGTGGCTAATATGCCATAAAGGGCTTGAGAATTCTACAGCTAAATTCCAATTTGTTGAAACAATACGATGGCTTCCTTACTCAAATATCAATTTTTATATAGGTCTAGATGGGATTTCTTTATTCTTTGTGGTGTTGACTACGTTCTTAATACCTATTTGCATGTTAGTAGGTTGGTCTAGTATTCTTGGGATAAGGTAAGGTATTGTTTTAGACATGTTCTGAACAATGTCGTAGTTCAAACTACATCCTCCACAAAGAAGTCAAAATCGGCGCACTTAACAGCCATTTGCTCTAACCACTGAGCTACTAGAGACCTTTCTATTGTCGTATTTTTTTGATAGTCTTTTGAAAATCTATCATATTTTGTTGAAAAACATCACTTTAACCAGTGAAGTGCGCGCTCTGCAAGCGCCTTGGGCAGTTGAGCCAAATTCAACTACACTTGAATGGATGGTAAAGTCCTCCAGCTTTTCATACCTTTGAAGAACTTCCAGCCATCAAAGAAACAAGAAGGTGACATTACCACAGCCTGGCGGCTGCCTCACAAGGTTATTCTAGGAATTCTTTCAGAAGAAATTGCTTGTAGAAAATTTATGAGCTTAGTCCGAAAATCCCTAAGTGTTGGATATGCTCTTACGTTCTTGCGAACGCCGCCGGTATCACCTATAGGCTTTAACGTTGTAAGTTGTTGTTTAGTCACCTGTCCCCCAATCAATATCAATAGATGGGTAATCAACTCCCATACGGTCAGTATCCGCCGATTTGGACCTTACCACTTAGTTTCAATGGCAGGCAGGAAGTATAACAAACAGCGTACGTTCGCGCGCTTCCCCGGAACTCCACAAGCTCTTACGAGCCTGTGCTTCGCACCTCTATTATGTAAGGTTGTTCTTCACGAACTTGACAAATTCGTCTCTTCGACCCTCAACAAAGCCAAATTCGACACGGAAACTCCCCGTCGAAGACTCAGCGGCGAGGCGATCGTAAGAGCTTCCGCTCTTCAAACGACAAAAACCGGCAACCGGCGAACCCTATGGAAGTAGTTGTTCCAGCAAACGGCAACGTTTTTCTTTAGAGATCACTCTCTAAGGTGGCCATCCCGACCAAAGAACCAAAACAGATGTTGAAATAAAACAGGATCTCCTCCTCCTGCAGGATCAAAAAAAGTGGTATTAAAATTTCTACCAGTTAATAGCATAGTAATAGCACCTGCTAATACTGGAAGTGACAATAAAAGCAGAAAAGCTGTAATTAGCACAGACCTAAACCTTCAGGAGACAATTCAATTAAATTCGAGATCGTGGGAACTGGGGAAATAACTCCACGGTGGTACCATACCAAGGAGAATTCAGAGATCCCGTAGTAAGAATTGTCCTGTGCGGACCCTTAAGGGGATCAGCCTAAAACCGTTCTGTTCCGACACTGAGTGAGGTCTCGAACAATCAACACGATCTAGATTCCAATCTAATACTCGACCCTATCAAAGGATCGAAGAGAAGGCGCTAACGCGAAGTTCTGAATCTTAATTGGGGAATACGGCCTTGTAAGATTAACTTGGAGAGCCGTATGCAATGAAAGTCAACCTTAGCCTTGGCAAGGCTATACTCTACCATTAAGCTATTTCCGCCATCAATCCACTTTGTGGTGCGCTCGCCGTGAGATGAGAGGCCGAAGGAAAGAAAATCAAATAAAAGAAAAGAAAACGCTCTTGCGAGCGCGGCTCGCCAGCAGAGCAGAGTGGGCCTAAGTAGATTTGAACTACTGACTTTACACTTATCAGGCGTATACTCTAACCAACTGAGTTATAGGCCCATGCTTGGAAAGACTTGAACTCTCAACGGATTTTGTTTTTTTCCCATGAAACATACAAATGTTGATAAATTTGTGTATCAATTGTTGTACCTTGCAATTCTCTAAAATCAAAGGCTCGAAGAGCGAGACCACTTATTCACATGGCTTCAGACCGGGACGTAGTGCTCACACGGCCCTTAATGTTATAATGGGTACCTTTCATGGTGCGCAATGGTATATTGAAGGATCCCTGGAGGCCGAAGGCCATTTTAGCTAATGCCTGTTTAGCTCGATCCGCAAGAAAAAGGAAGTGGTTCCGTCCCGTCCAAGTTTGGCCATCGAACTTCAGTGTTCGAACTAATTCCATTTTATCCTAGTAAGATACGCCGATGATTTCGTTGTTCTTCACAAGGCTCGAAGAGTTGTTCAGGGCGCTCAAGGGTTCCTATCACAATGGCTCCAACCCATGGGCCTGCACTTTGTGCCTGATCAAACTCGCATAGTCACTACGGGAGAAGGATTCCATTTCTTAGCACATGACGTTCTCCACCTTGGCAAAGGCTCGAAGAGCAGACGCTTCGCGTCTGAATCCCACGGGCTCGTCAGCAGAGTTGCTCCGTCCAAGAAATCACAGGAAACACTTCTTTCGCAAACTCGTTTTGTAATACAATCTCACAAAGGTTCCGCTGTACACCGACTCATCAGTGCTTTGGTGTTTTAGTAGCCTTTGACTGGCTACCTTAACCACTGCCAGTATTTACTCTTAGGTGCCCACGTAGTGGTGGGTGCCACAAGATCTCTTCGATATCAACGTCTTCAGATAAGGACAGGAGCGCAGAGGTTAGGCAGCGAAGTAGTATCATTGAGTTAACTCAGTTAATAGATACGGGCGCCTTCGGCCTATCTATATAGAGACTCAAACGACGCCTTCGGCGCCTTCCGTAAGAGCATATCCAACACTTAGGGATTTTCGGACTAAGCTCATAAATTTTCTACAAGCAATTTCTTCTGAAAGAATTCCTAGAATAACCTTGTGAGGCAGCCGCCAGGCTGTGGTAATGTCACCTTCTATAACCCAAGTCGCACTCTTGAATGTTCGGTTTACCTGGAGTATTGCACGCTTCGCGTGAAACGACATCTCGTTACAACACAACCTTTAGGTAATACCGGTGAAGTCCACCGGTATTACCTAAAGGCTGTGTTGTAACGAGATGTCGTTTCGCCTCCTGTCCCCAATTAATTGGGTAATCTGCCTCTTTCAATTCAAACCTAGGTGAGCATATCCACCACCCGGTAAGAGGCACCTCAGCGTACGATCGCGCGCTATCTATTGTCTGGGTCCAATTAAAGACATGCTGCCTATTAGCATCATAGCATAAGTAAAAGGTAACAAAGAAGCTAATCCTCCCATTTTGCGCATATCTTGTTCATCAGACATTGCATGAATCACAGAACCTGCACTCAAAAAAAGTAATGCTTTAAAAAGAGCATGGTTCATCAGATGAAATACACTCACAGAATAATTGGAGATACCACAAGCGAATACCATATAACCTAAAGCACGTCCGCCGAATGGAGAATGGAGGCTATGGATTGGGGATTTAGTGGTGTAATGTTAAGAGGTTCAGGGGTTTCCTGGGATTTGCGAAAAGCAGCACCCTACGATGTTTATGACAAAGTAGAATTTGATGTACCCGTAGGTACACGAGGAGATTGTTATGATCGTTATTGTGTCCGCATTGAAGAAATGCGACAAAGTCTTCGAATCATTGTCCAATGCTTGAATCAAATGCCTAGTGGCATGATCAAAGCGGATGATCGTAAACTTTGTCCTCCTTCACGCTCTCAAATGAAACAATCCATGGAATCCTTAATTCATCACTTTAAGCTTTACACGGAGGGTGTGTCTGTACCAGCTTCTTCTACGTACACCTGTGTAGAAGCACCCAAAGGCGTCTTTAGGTGTCTATGGTATTATAACAGCAGGTTGGTCTAGTAATTCCAAATATGCTTTTCTAGGAGCACTACGATCTGCTGCTCAAATGGTTTCTTATGAAGTTTCTATTGGTCTTATTATAATTACTGTATTAATCAAATCAAAGGCTAAGTAACATAAAGGTAATGTATTGGACTGCAAATCCACGAATGATGGTTCGAATCCGTCCTTAGCCTACTTACTCGGCAAGTTGACCAAGTTGAGTTTCTTAAGAGATTGATGTTGCCT